GGTCGACGCGCCCGCCACTCGGCCCCGCCCCCTCCGCTCGTCCTTCCGCGCCGCCCCGCCTTGCCCCAGACACCCACTGCTTTTCTCTGACGCCTACCCTCACTCTCAGTTTCCCACCCTGCGGCCCCTTAGCTCCTCAGACCGCGTGGGGGCTGCCTGCAACCTCGGGAGCCGCCTGCCCTCCACTAGATCACAGCCCTGGGAGGGTGTTTCTGCTGTGCCTGTTTCACACTTGGGGAAACTGAGGCAAAGGGTGGAGTGAGCTATGAATTAACTGGTCTATGGCTGTAGAAGGCCATCCCCAAAATATTCACAGACACACACAACCCCCACCACTGATCAGGAGATGGAAATACTGAAACACCGCTGATGGGGGAAGTCCAGCAGAGTAAATGATGCATTATGGTAATAACTGTGCTGGTAAAGAGCTGTGAGAGAGCAGAAAGGAGGAAATATTTCGCAGAGGACTTAACAGCTGAGTCATCTTAAAGGATGAGTAGAATTCCTTCCGGAGGTGAAGTGGGTAAAGGCCATTAGAGTCAGTGCATGACAAATCTAGGACCTATAGATCATAAAACTCAAAGGCCCTGGGTCACGGCTCTGAACAACATACTTACGGTCACTTAAGCAAACAAAAATAATATATATCATACTAGGCTATATATTCTTTTCCCCTCTTTCCCAAGCACTGTTCAGTCATTTATTCATTTAACAAATACTTGGCACTACTGTTATGTGTTGAGGATACAGAGAAATGGCAGATCCAACCCTGAACTCACAAGGGGAGACAGAGGTGTAAACAACTAACCACAACAAACTGCTATCAGGATAACAGGGTTGTACAATGAGCAATAGCAACACTGAGGAGGGAGCCCATCACACGCATAGGTGGTGGAGAGCTCTTCACAGTGGAGGCGATGTGTGCAGGTCCGAAAGGATGAAAAGGCATTGTCTGGAAGATGATAGGCAAGGGAGAGATGGGCTTTCCTGGTAGAAGGTACCTATATGTACCAAGGTTTGCAGATGGAAAATATTTGGAGTTCCAGAAGTGATGAAACATTCCTATGGTTGAGACTGTTAGATTAAGGGGCTTTGCATGTCATACTAAGAAATTTAGCCTGTCCTCTATGAAACTCCATGGAAGTTTTTAAGATGGCAATAATAGTCATCTGGTGACTGAGAGAGGTCTTTTTCCTACCTAATTGCCTTGGCTAGAACTTCCAGTATAATATTGAATAGAAGTGACAAGAGAGGACATCCTTGTCTTATTGAAATTTGGGAGAGAAAGCTTTCAGCCTTTCACCATTAAGTATAATGTTTCCTTCTTATTCCTAGTCTGTTGAGTGTTTTTATCTGTCAAATAAGTTTTCTGCATCTATTGAGATGATAATGTGACTTTTACCCTTTATTCTCTTTTATATATATTTTTTAATTTTTTAAATTACAGTTGACATACAATATTATATTCGTTTCAGGTATATAACAGTGATTAGACATTTATATAACTTACAAAGTGATCACCCCAATAAATCCATCTGACGCCATACATAATTATTACAATACTACTCACTATATTTCCTATGCTATATATTCCCATAATTATTTTGTAACTACCAATTTATATCTCTTAATCCTTTTTCACCTATACCACCAAACCCCTCACATCTGGCAACCGTCAAAATGTTCTCCGTATCTATGAGTTTGTTTCTGTTTTATTCATTTATTTTGTTCCTTAGATTCCACATATAAGTGAAATCATATGGCATTTGTCTTTCTCCATTTGATTTACTCCACCAGCACAATATCTTCTAGGTCCATCTACGTTATTGCAAATGGCAAGATTTCATTCTTTTTTATGACCAAGTAATATTCCATTGTATATCTGTACCACCTCTTTCTTATCCACTCATCCACTGATGAACACCCAGGTTGCCCCCATATCCTGGCCACTGTAAATAATTCTGCAATGAACACATAGATGCAATGTCTCTTCAAAGCAGTGTTTTGGTTGTCTTCGGGTAAATACCCAGAAGTGGGATTACTGGGTCCTTCTTTGCCTCCTGTTGTAGCCTTTGTTTAAAGTCTATTTTGGGAGTGGCTCCATAGTGTAGTGGTTAGCATGTCTGCTTTATATGCAGAAGGTCTTGGGTTTGCACCCCAGGTGGGTGCACCTGGTCCGGTTGCACACCACGAGCGTGTAGGAGGAGACACTAACTGCTTTTCTCTTGCTGCTTTTAAGATTCTCTCTTTGCCTTTAACCTTTGCCATTTTAATTATACTGTGTCTTGGTGTGGGCCTCTTTGGGTTTGTCTTGTTTGGGACCTGCTGCACTTACTGGGATTGTATGTTTATTTTCTTCACCAAGTTAGGGAAGTTTTCCATCATTATTTCTTCAAATAGGTTTTCAATTCCTTGCTCTCTCTCTTCTCCTTCTGGTGCCCTTATGATGTGAAAGTTGGTACGCTTGACATTGTCCCCGAGTCCCCTTAAACTATACTCATTTATTTGGACTCTTTTTTTCTTGTTGCTGCTGTTTTCTGCTATCTTCTCTTCCATATTGCTGATTTGATTTTCTACTTCATCTAATCTACTGTTAATTCCCTCTAATGTATTTTTCATTTCAGTTATTGTATTCTTCATTTTTGACTGGTTCTTTTTAATATTCTCTAGCTCCATTTTTATGTTTCCTATCTCTTTGTTGAAGCTCTCACTGAGATCGCTGAGCATCCTAATAATCAGTGTTTTGAACTCTGCATCTAGTTTGTCTCCATTTTGTTTACTTCTTTTCTGGAGCTTTGTTTTCTTCTTTCATTTGGGACATACTTTTTGTCTCCTCATTTTGGCTGCCTTCCTGTGCTTGTTTCTATGTATTAGGTAGAGCTGCTATGTCTCTTGGTCTTAAAGTGGCCTTATGTAGTAGGTGTCCTGTGATGCAATCTCCTAGTGGTGCAATCTCCCTGGTCACCTAAGACAGGTGCTCTAGGTGGGTCCTTTGGGTGGGTTGTATGTGTCCACCTGTTGTAGTTAAGCCTTGGTTGCTCTTTGCACATCAATGGAAGGGATTGACCCTTAGGCTGACCGGTTGTGAGGACTGGCCATGACTGCAGGAGAGGAGCTGTTGTGAAGGGGCTGAACCTATGGAGCAGGACTTACTTTAATGGGGCTCTGGTGCCTGCCAAGTTTGCCCTCTGGGTGTGTCATTTGTAGAGGTGGTTGGGTGGTGTACTGATGTGGTCTGAAGCTGGCCACTAGATGTGTTGGATCTGGGGTCTTTTGAGAGGAGCTCTGTTGCAGGCCAAGGTCAGCTGCTGCCTATGCCTTGCCTGAGGCCACTTGGTGTGAACTACAAAGTGATCTCTAGATGGTTGCCATTTGTGCTCGGGTTGGAGGTGCCTGGGAGAGGCTAAGCTGCAAACGGAGGCTGGCTGCCACTAGTCCCAGGCTTGGGGCTGCTTATCAAGAGGTGCGGGTGGGGCACACCGAAGCTAGATGCTGTTTGGAGTTTGTGAATCTTTGAGAGATTGTAGGAAAGTCTGTAGCATGAGCCAATACAGGCCGTTTATGTGGAAAAGCCACTGGAAGTGGCTTGAGTGGACCCAAAATTGGGTGAGGCAAGTTTTAGAGAATCACCAGGTCGTGGAGGACAGTGTTAGTAAGGTTGATGGAGACTCAGATATGGCTGCTACCTGTGTCTACAAGCTGGGTGAGTGGAGGGCTCAACAGAGGAAAAATGGCTTCTGCCAGCACTTCTGTCTAGGAGAAAGCTGCCCCACCAGCCCTCACCCTGAAGCCAGACAATTCAGTTCCTCCCCACATGTCTGCAATGCCCCTCGAGCCACTTCCCCAGTTCAGAATTGGTGAGTTTGTCAGCAGTAAGTCCATGCATGGGCCCTTCAAGAGAAACACTTGAAACTCCAGTGGCCCTCTGTCTCACTCAGCCACAATCTCTGCTGATTTTCACAGTCAGAAGTTGTGGTGACCTCTCTTCTGGCACCAGAACCCTGGGCTGGGGAGCTTGGTGTAGGGCTGGGACCCCTTGCTCCTCACGGGGAACTTCTGCAGCAGAGATATCCCTCCCAATTTTTAACCACCACACATGGATGTTGGACCATCCTGTTCTGCATTTCCACCCTTTCTACCAGTCTTGACGTGGTTTCTTCTGTATGTCCTTAGTTGTGGACTTCTGTTCAGCTAGACTTCAGGCAATTCTCAAAAATGGTTTCTATAGTTTAGTTGTAATTTTGATACAGTTGTGTGAGGAGGCAAACACGAGGTTTACCTTCTCCACCATCTTGGCCAGAACTGTCTATCTTTTATTATCTTAATACAGTGTGCTATAATAATTGATTTTTGTTCGTTGAGCCAACATTGCATTCCTGAAATAAATTTTGTTCATGTGTTGCTGAATTCAGTTTGCTAATATTAACAAGGGGTTTTTGTAGTGATGTCTTTGTCTGATTTTGGCATCAATATAGTACTGGAGACACAGAATGAATTGGGAAGTGTTCCTTCCCCATCTATATTTTGGAAGAATTTGTAAAGGATTGAAGTTAACTCTTTAAACATTGGGTGGAATTTGCCATTGAAGCCATTTATGCCTGGGCTTTTCTTTGTGGGATGGTTTTCGATTACTGATTCAATTCCTTTAGCAATTCTTTTACATCAAATCTGCAGGCAACAAATTCTTTTAATTTTCTTTTATCTGAGAATATCTTTATTTTAATTTTATTTTTGAAACATATTTTCACTAAGTTAATAGCTCTTTTTTTTCAGTGATTTAAAAGTGACCTCCATGGTTTCTGATGAGAAATCCACATTCAAATCATTATTCCGCTATAAGCGAT